CTGAAGAAGTCTGTGCTTGTACTGTTCAGGAATTGCTGTAGCTGTGCAGCTCCATTCATGTCATGCACAAATCTTGGGGGACTGAAAGAAGTGCCTGCTGTTAAAGGAAGGAGAAAGAGCATAGTGTGGAAATAGGAGCACTAATGTACAAATTTCAGGTGTGTTTAGTCTTTGGGCTTCTGTCCTGTTGCTTCACAGCATCTTTTTCTCTTAATGCAGTTTTAAGGCATCAGATCAGGTGCTGAAAGGCTTTACTTGTCTGTAAACTGGTAAGACTTTGAAGATCAACTTATGCTACAGAATCTAGATTGGCTTAGGATGCTTAAGTAGCTTTATGGCTCTTAAAATGGCTTAAACCATATAAAACTCTGTTGGAGTGGGGAGAGGAGCCTGACTGTTGCTGCCTGATTGGGATCTACCTGGGAAAGAGGCGGGTGGTGGAAGACCACCTGACTAGAAGTCTTTGCCCCAGACACACTTACTGGAAGGCCTCTTATCAATCTTGCCTCTTAGCAGACTGCAGAAGTTGAAATTCAAACCAAGTATAGGCTGAGAAGGCAATTGAGTCTTAACAGGCAGTCTTGAAATAAGAGACTGAATTTTTTTGCTATGCCCCCAAAAAGCAAGTGCTTCTTGCACCTCTTCCCTCTCTTTGTCAATAAATTCTTCCCATCATTTTCCCCCACTTTCTTTTGCTTGCTTGATTAAGTGCTGGTGTGACAGCCTTGCCAAAAGTATGAGCTGTGGTGTGCAAGTTTGGCAGCTGCGGGTATAATCAGGACACAAACACAGTGAACGTGCTGGTGTAACAACAGAACTCAGAGTAGATATTGTGGATTGGTTATTTGGATAGCTTTGTCCAAAATATTTAGATCATGTCTTAGGGTAGCTTCTGCATTCCTCCAATCCGAGGCCTTTCCTGTGTTGAACTGTTTGTATTAAACACTACTGAATACATAGCTCAGTTTCTCCAAAGCCCAGAGGTGCTACTCATTCATACTTCATCAGGGTTTGGTTTCTGTAGGGAAAGAGGAATATAGGGTTTCCTTGTTGTGGGAAAGGCAGCTTCTCCACAATGCTACCATAGCATCCTATCCTTGCTTAGCTGCCATCAAGGTAGAAGTGCTTCTATACTATATTGCATTGCTTAAATTGTTGCTAGAGCCTTGGGTTAATGTAGAAGCTATAGACCTGGGTATCAGGCTAGCTGAAGAAAGAACCACACCTGAGACTAAGCAGGCAAACATCAGATGGCAAGTGTTTGCTCAAACGTAACAGATTTCTACCTGTGGAGGGGGAGTTCACTTCCTTATGATTCATGAGGTGTACAACCGGTACTGACTGTTAATGCTAAATAGTTACCTGGGAAAGCTTTAAGTACACACTGTAACCTTTACAGAGGAGATTACAACATAGTTAATGGTAGGAATTGTGATGGTAATACTTTGCTGAGGCTTGTCAAACCTTCCTGAGATATTTTGTGACATTCAGTTGAACTTGTTAATAATTGGTTCAAGCATCCTTGACAGAAGGTATCTACCTTTGTGCCAGTCTCTCAGACACCAACTTCTAAAATGTCATAGATGACTTAAGTACTAACCTCTTAGTTTTTCTGAGGTGTTAAGGGCAAATGAGTGCTTGCTCTGGAACAGCAAAATCTTTGGTTTTAATCTCTTGCATAGTAAGCAAAAACCCCACTGCTACTTGGCTCTGGAACAGCTCCCTCCTTAGGCTTCAAGATCTTTGCAGGTACTGCCTTGCAGCTGGTATCTGCAGTAACAACCAAAGTACACAGTAAAACTGAATTTACAATGCAGGGCAAAGAACTGAGATACTTGAGGATGCACAGTTAATTATTCTATGCTATGTAATAGAAGCCTAAACTTAAGCTTCAGCTCTGAAATGTGTGTATCTTGCCCTGGGAAGCCAGTATCCACCTATTTGGGTATTGCTTTACAGCCTCAGTTCCACCTCCAGCCAGCTGTATGTGCTGTGAATGAACAATGTGAATTGTTGTGAAGGAGAGGAAGCCCATCCAGCAGGATATTTTGGTCATGGGAGGGCCCTTTAGAATGCCCTCATAATAAGCCTGTTTTTGTAGTGTACAGAAATCTTGACTGCTGTGTCTGTCAAGAGCTGCTAAACTGGTCAGAAAGGTTCACACTGCAGAGAAAAACCTTTCTTTTTAGTTCTGTGCAGCTGCTGTTTGTCATCCCCATCCTGCTTTGTTTCCTTGGGCCATCACTTGAATTTGGAAAATCCCTTGGAGAGAGATTCATTTGTCCTCCAAATGCACTGCAGTGAGCAAAGCCTACTTTCTTCAGACTGGCTTTAGGCAGTGTGGGGGAGTGCTGCCTTACTCTGTCCTGAATCCCTGGATGTGCTAAGGAACTACTGGGGAAGAAGCAGGTAAAATGGTTGTTATGGCTGGCAGGGGATCTCTCAAAACTAGAGATGGTCTTCCCTGAGTGGATGAGTAAGGGATGATAGCCTAGAAGCCTAGAATTTGTCCTGCAGCAGATTTGGAAGGGTGGACTGCAGTCCTTTCTCTTTACAGAGAGATTGACTTGTACTTCACTTTGAAGACCATCAAACTTCCTTAAGTGATGAGGAAGAAGCTTGTTCAGCAAAACAGCTTCCTTCATCACCAGGTAGGACTTGTACCTGAGAACAAGTGAGGAGCAACACTTCTGTAAACTCTAGCAGGTAAGAGAGCAGGAGGCTGATATGTTTAGGTGATGTGTTTGGGAGGTGCTGTAGCAATTCATCTATTTGACCGCTGTAATTGAGATTAATCTGAGCAAAGAGAGGAACTTGAAGTAAGGAGCACTTGCATGGTGTCCCTCTCTTGTCTTAGAACAATAATATTCCTGTAATATTTGTAAAAACTAGAGACTGTCTTATGTGACTTCTGTGCTTGTGTTCAGGCTGTGCATAAGGAAGAACAAAAGCAGAATTCAGCCTCTCAGGTAGAGGCTGAATTCAACAAATCTTCCCTGTAAGCAAAATGTAAGTTCCAGCAGCGGGCCACATCCTGTATGTGTCTTTGACTACACTGAAGAGGTGTTGAAGAGTTTGGCACATACAGATTTCTGTGAGTAGGGATGGCAGACCAGGTTGGTGGTTGAGACTGGCAATCCAGATGTCTCTAGGGACATGAAACCAATGTTTGGACTATAAAGATAGAGGAAGAGAACCAGATTTTTTTAAATGACTGGTATTGGGTAAATCTGAATGTAAGGAATTTCCTGCAAAAGACAGGAATGCAGCGTTTGCATCCAGGAAATGCCTAGGAAATTGTATTCTTGATTATTAGCAGGGATCAACAGATTTTCATAAGGGGTTCTTTTTTCTATAATACTACTTGCAGTTGTAGCTAGCTAGCACTGACCAGTGTAAAACTGAGTGATTATCTAGGGTTGGGAAAAAGTACTAGGGTATAGCCTCCCCTTCTCTTTCTGTGTCGGGAGAGTGATGGTAGAAAACACCCAGCTCTTTGTGTGCCACATCTGATAACTTGTCATTTTGCCTAACCCAGTTAGCACAACTACTGCCTGAGCCTTTTGCACAGAAGACAGCCCGACTGCTGAGCTATACAAGGGAAAGCTGTGAATCACAATGTGTAGCTATTCATTGACCAAAACTTTGACCTTTGCCAGGTGAACTTTGCAGTATTTCTGGCAGACATCACATCCACATGTCAGAAATGCAGAGGGGCATTCTATTTTCTTCTTTTTGGTGAGTTTGGAAAATAGCAGAGACCTGTGTTTCAGGCTCCAGCACTCTCATTGTTATGAGCCTGCAGGTACTCTGCACCAGAAGCAAATGTAGGTCTTTAGCCTAAAGGAGCTGCTTTTTAATTAGCTTTAAGGTCTGTTCCTGTGGCAACTGACTGACTGCAGTGGAAATGGAAATTTAAATTCCAGGAGGGATGTGCTTTCTTCTCATATGCCCGGGGATTACTTTGCTTGGACTTGACTTGGTCAAGCAAGGCTCCTTCGCTTCTCTGGAATAATGCCTGGTCAGCTCTGTCCTTACTGTGCAGGAAACGATTAACTTCCATTTGATTATGCTCCTCTGTGCACAGGCAGTAGTGAGGATCCCAGGTTGAAGGTGTGGGGTTTGGCAGGAAATTGTTGCTCAGTTGTAAAGGTGATCTACATTGCTAGTAAGCTTGTGTTTTCAGTGAAAGAAGCTGACTTTGAAAAGAAAATAAAAACTGTAGTGATGTGCTGCAAAACTTTGCTGAGTACCTCTTTTAGGCACTCAAGAAGTGTTTCTGCTTCCCAGAGTTGAATCTTAAAGGCCTGGCATGAATTCAGATGGCTTATGTAAGTTGATCTTTATGGTGTATGTGTCAAAACATAAATATATTTCAGGCATTCCATTACTGCCTTTACTGGCTGCTCTAAACAATGTCGGTTGAAGCACCAAGGACATAGGACAGTGTGCTTCATAAATATTTAACAACTCACTCCCCCAAACAAAACCCCCTCAGACCCAGATATGTTTAGCCTCATGAGCAAAAAACATAATGCACATTAGAACGTTCATCAATAAACTCTAGGTGGTGTTTATAGCCCAGCCTACAGAGAGGAGTGCTGCTCTCTCTTATTCTGAGCTTGCAGTATGGTGTGATACCTGGGCAGCAGAGATTGGGTTCTCACTAGTGGTTATTACACTGATGGAAGCAGCTGGGGAAATAGCTATGCACGCAGAATTTTCCATTAATCAAAGGAAAAAAGTCCAACACAGATGGTATATAGGATAGATTATGGCTGGTAATCCTTTTGTGTCCTAGAAGATTAAGGATATCCTGGTGTAGCTGCAGTCAGCTGACCTTTTTTTATTTAAACCATTGAACACTGTTGATGCAGTTCTGCAGAGGACCAAGGCTCTTACAGAAGCCATGAGCAGTGCCCTGTGAATGTTTGTTAAAGGAACAGTCAGTTTAAGTCCAGCCTCAGTTATAAATTTACAGGAACTTACCTTTGTGCCATGTAAACAGCAGCAGCTACAGGATGGCTAAGAAATCTCTTGCTAGACTGCTCTATCAGATGTAGCAGAGCTGAATTCTCTGAGGAGGCACAGTGAGTGTCATGTGGAGAAATGGAGGGTTTCTGAATCCTGCTGTTTGGGTCACCCCAGAAAGCGAAGATGAATGCTTCAGTGGAAGAAGAGGATGGCTGTGCGCTCTGAAATGTCTGGCATGGATCTGTATGAGGATTACAAATCACCCTTCGATTTCAATGCTGGAGTGAACAGAAATTATCTTTACTTGTCGCCTGGCATAAACCTTTCTCCACCTGGATCACCTACACTGGCAAAGTCTGGTAACTTCCTTCCTTCCTTAAAATCTCTACATGAAATTCTTAGCAATTAGTACCTGTAAAACTTCTCAAATTAAAAATCTAGAAAAGTTGGCCTGCTGTTAATTCTGGAAGTATATTAGCTTCAGTGTAGCTAATATCTCACGTTACACATTTACCAGTTTATTCAGTAGAAAGGCAGTTTGAGGGAAAATGAAGTGGCAAAGCCAATTAGGAACTGCTGCAAGATTGGAATAATTTGCCTAGTTTGACTATTAGATTTTTTTGGGGGAGGAGGTAGAAATTGCATTTTTAGTAGGACTTCAGAGCTCTGGCTAGTCTAAAATCTGCTTTTGCCTTAATACTGAAAATCGCACTGATTAACAAAAATGCCCTCTAAAACCTTTTCTCCATTCCACCTAGCATTTAAAATTCTGCAAACCTTCCACCTGCAGATATGAACTGCATTGGGGGCTGCCTTGTGCTGTGCTGCAGTGCCATCTGCTTAGTGCTTAACCCTATGAGTTTCTTGATGGTAACCTGTTGTACAGAATGCCATAGCTGTGTCTACCAACACATCCTAGTCTGGTTTTACTGTCGTCATTCCTTTCCATTCCTTGCTGCCAGATGTAATCTTTCAGAGTAGTTTTAAATACAGAAAGCTTTGGCCTACTTCAGGTAGGGCAAAGTTACACAGGTGTTAATTTTTTTTTTTAATGAGCTTGTTACTTAAAATTTTAAAGAAACATGCATCCCTTGGGGAACCTCTGTGTGAGCTATAGCAACCCTCTCTGTGAACTTGTTGAACCGGGAGCTACAGTGGAACAGTGGTCAGCATTCAGTTACTGCATCTCCAGCTCTTCCAAAGGAGCGGGGAAGCAGCTCTCTGTGTCAGGTGATGATGCATCACCATTACCACCAGCCCTTTCTAGGCTTTATTTTCTTTTTCATTTGCTCTTAATGAATATCTAATTAGTATTTGGGAGAAGCCAAATAATTTTCTCCCCTAGGCTGAAGAAATGTCTCACTTTGATTTCTTCACTGAGATAAATGGGAAGTACTTAAATCTGATTTTTCTTATATACTGCAGAATAAATATGCTTTGTAGTACTGTATGTAACTCAGCTATTAGAGTGGTTTTATAACATTGCAACAGCTTGTTCTCCTGAGCTACAACAAACACTTTTTTTCTTTAGCTTTGCCAACTGTGTAGTGATTACCACAATGTTCATTCTCAGTGTCGCATGCAGAACATGTCCATGTAAAATAAAGCTTTATGGAGGTTAACCTGCCCCCGCCCCAAGGCTGCTCATTCAAAATGAAAAGTATTTCTTTACACTGCTCCTGTTTGCTGCTGGTTTCTGAATTCAGCCCAGGGAGGAAGGAACTTCTGGTCAAAATAGGAGCATGAACTTGGATTGAAACTGACCAAAGCAAACCCCAAATCAGAAAAACTGATTGTTAATTGAATTACTATAATGCTGTACCTACCCTGGCAGAATAATAGGGACTTAAATGCCATTTCCTTGAATGTGATCTGTGGAGTCCTAATCAACTAACTTGCTCATGTCTTTATTTGGTTCATTTAAGTAAATCTAATAAACTGCTGGGAAAATATGTTAATCTTAGAAATACAGACCTAAAACCTGACCTTAAAGCTAAGTAGGTTTTCTCAATACTAAGTAGCATTTTAATGGTTTTTATGATTTTTTTTCCCCCCAAACAGATTTTTTATTCTGTTTGTGAAGCATAAAATGTTCAGTTAAACTTGGTTATAATAGAGTACCAAATGACTGAATTTTAAGTCCTTCACAACTCTAATGATGCACGAGAACTAACATAACGAAGGGTAACAAGTTGAAAGCAGTAATAATGATTTTATATAACAATATAAAATAACAATAGCAAAAGTTCTGTTGGCAAAAAAAAGACCACAAGTGAGAAATGCTCTCTTAGTAGTAGCTTGAGCCAAGGCATTTCCATCTGTTGGCTGACTGCTGATTTCCTGGTTTCTTGCCCTACGCCCCATAGAAAGATCTAAGGTGGGCGGTGCACGCTTCCTTAGGAAGTTTTTTCAAAGCCAGGATCTTACTGGCTTGTCAGCCCTAGTTTATGGGGTACATTTGTGTTGTAGCCACACTGTTGTGGAAGTCTGTGGGTTGTTAGCTGTTCAGACAAGTGCTCCTTGGTCAGATGGCCCAGCACAGCCTTGCCCATAGGATGGATGGATGAACCCTGTGTCCTTCAGGTATTGAACTGAGGAATAGGAGCAAAGGGAACAGAGAGGTGAACAGTGACAGGAGAGAGAACGGAGGTACCAGAATGAAGATTGATGGGAAGGTGTTAGCATACTTCATGTGGAGCTCAAAAAAGTAATAAATGGGAGGGGCTCAGAAGGCAAGAAGAGGAAGGCATGGTCAGATGTGCAAGATGAGGTATGGAGGACTTTGAGTAGCAGTGATTTCCTGTTTCCCTGAAAACTCTTGGAATGGGAAGGGGAGGAGAGATCATTCCCTTGCTTCCTAGCATTGTGCCTTAAATTCCATTTGGTAGGCAAGAAGCAGAACAGTCTGAAAAAAAAGTTTTCCAAAGAGAGGCTACATTCCCCAAACAGAAGCTGTTGCTGCAGGAGACAATCCGGCATGTTTTCTTAGTGGTGGATTCACTTGGTCTATTTTTGGTGATTTAATCCAGATGACTCCTCGTAATCAGATTGAACAGACTTTCAGCTGGTTGGGCTAATGCTCTTGGAGTCAGTGTGGTTTTGGTACTTGCAAACTTTCTGAAATGGCTTTGTGATGGCAAGCAACTGAAGGGCTGCAGATGAGATCAAGGTCAGGAGTCATAGAACATACTGAGGGGTTGTAGGGTGTCAAGGAGAAATGCAGTTCAAATTGTTTTCCTTTAGGGTAGGTTTATGTAATTAATAGGTTAAATAGCAATTTGACAAAAAGGTGTGGCATTCTTAACTATTAAGGAAATATGTTGATGTATAACACAAGTTATCTGATTGTGAGACATAACTCTTTGTTTTAGGTGCTATAGTGCTATGCTTTGGTTTGGGCATTAGACTTTGAAGTTCTTACTGACTTAGATTTCTCACAGAAAGTAGTCTATTGGGAAACCCACAGGACCAACATTATGCTTGTGTAGAAGACACATAAATCTCTGGGGAAATGTGGCACAGATCTCATGAGTAAATGCAGAATGAGGTTTAATTTTCTTCCTGTAGGCTTCCTTCTCTTCTAAATCTAGATTCTTCTGTACTCTGTGGTAACAGCATTCACTAAATTCTGTCCATGTAGCAGTATGCTTCTAGAGGACAAGTGATCTGGACACAAATACAGGCAGACAACGTACTGCTTTGGAAAGAATTTGTGGAACTGAGTTTTACCTGAGTTCAGTAATTTGATCAAGAACAAGGTTTCTTCTTTTTTTCAGCTTGACAGCTGCTAGGAACATGTTTCATAGAATGCTTACAACTAATTACAGACTTGCAGAAACTTTTTTTTCCCCTGATTTTTCAGTTGATTGTGATGTAGCTGTTTGATATGAAACACCACAGGAAAATCATAGTGGCGATTAATGAATTTTTGATTCCCAGACCAAAGGATAGTATGGAGTGCCATCAGAAGCTGCTGAAATGGGAATGGAATTTTATTGGTTAGATAGTGAATTTCTATAGCAATTAATAGGAAATGTTACTTAATGCATCTTCAACTTAGATGAATGATGTATTTATGTACATATATACACACAAACACACGTGTACGTATGTATACATACACTCGTCATTGCTCCTTACTAAAAACAAACCTGATTTCTTTCCTCTTGTATTTTAAGACTTTTATTTAGCTTATCTTTTTTTTTTTTATTATTATCTATAAGACTGTTTTACCTCTTGAATAGAGAATTAGTTCTGTGAATCCACAATCATTCCAGCATGCAGTTTCCCTGCAAACTGGTCTCTGCAATTAGAACAGAATTCCTTGTTTTTGGCAAACTTGATATTTAAGTGTCAGCTACAAAATGGGAAATCTTTTGCTGCAAATTGTGTTGCATAAAAGGTGTTTAAAATGGTCTTACTGCAAGCACTAAGGACTAATAAAAAATGAATCATTACAGTTATTGCATCATATTGTTTTTCTTTGTTTCCATGAAGCTGTGAAAGCAAAAGTTGATGAAGACCATAGGGATGTTCATGGTTTATATAGGAATTCGGCAGAGTTTTGGTTTTTGGATTTGGAAGGGGAAGATACAGCAGTTTGAGTGGATGCACATCCTTATCAGTTCCTTCTCAGTACTCCCCTGCTTTGAAGTAACAGCCTTTTGTTAGTGAGCTCTATCTCTGGGCTTCCCTTCTGTCTTAAGGTCTAAGTGCAAACCAGCAGCTTACTTCGAGTTCCAGGATATCTGCAGCCTTCTAGCCACAGTGGTCCCAGTTACTAGGAACAGAGAGATCAAGCAGGGTACAGTGGAAGAGCTCATATTTGCAGTGCAGTAGTTTTCACCACTGTTGTTAACCTTGCTTGTGGCTGCACCCAGTATGTTCAGAATGGACACTTTTAAATCTGATCTGAAGAGTAGTAAGGGACGGAGTCTCTGCATTGGCCTTGAGCATCTCCAGTGCTTCCAGAGTTTCTGTGCCAGATGAATGAGACACCAGAGTGCGTACAGACTCCTGGGCCGGGCTGTGTAGGAAACACTGGTCGGGATGTAGCATTCTGCAACTAGGTTTCTCTCACAGAGTAGTGGGATGTGTTCTCAACAGGTTTCCAGTCTCCTATTATAGCAGCAGTTGTCATTATATTGAGCTTTAATACAGCTTGATAGAATGAAATATAAAGTGCCTTTGGTTTTCTTCCTGTAGTTGGGGAACATGACTGGTGTCCTCTCGTGAATTTTCTTTGTGCTCTTGCACAAACAAGCTGTATACTAATGTTAGCTGCTGTCTGGCAGACTTGTGATAATCTAACTTCTAATGCTTTATTCATCTCAAGGGTTGCTGAGGAGTGACTCTATACCTGAGGTGGGAGAGGATGTTGCTGCTACAGTCAGTATGGCAGAAACACTCTCAGAAGAAGAACGGGATGAGCTAAGAAAAGAGCTTGCCAAGGTAATTCTTTTGTAAATAGTTCTTAAACTTGTTTTCATAATGTAAATCTGGGATAATGTTATCTTTGAACCTACAGTTAATGCTTTGCATAGTTATTCTGTGAGTGTCTAAAGCTGGCACTCCTGTGTATTGTACAGATAGGAAGGAAGAGTGTCAAGGGGAAAAGAACAGCCAGTTCTAATGGGGAATTAAGCTGGAAGTGCTGAATAATCTTAAACTAAGATACATAAATACCTAACACATTTTTTTTCTCTAGTGAGAAAGGAGTAAATCAGCAAAGAGAACATGGTTGGAAGGCAAAACCCAAGTATTGTCTCAACTGGTGTGGAGTAGCTAAAGCTGTTTCTTTCATGAAGAATGCTTTGTAGTCATATCTGTGTATGCACTGTATTGCTAATGTCTAACCGTGTCACTGTTCTTGTCCATAACAGAATATTTTTAAGAGTGAGAAAAAGTAGCATTCTTTGAAGGACAGACAAGCAAATAATCAATCCTGATACATGCCAAAGTCAAGCTTTTTTAAGCAGCCAGTCTTTTTTCTTTAGTAGCTCTATGGGACTTTAGGACCCTTATGAAAGACACTAACTTGAGCGTAAGGTTGGCAAACAAAGATTAGCTTTAAATTAAGCACATTTAATACATTATTATATTTGGCAGTCCTGAGTATCATTTCATGCCAAAGGTAGTGAGTGTGGGCTGGTCCTGCTAGGATACATCACTCTGGACTTGGGACAGATATCCAAACAGAGGTGCATTGAAGGTATTGTAAGGAGTACAGTAATGGGCTGTACTCCTGTAAGGAGCTTAAATGAGTGGGCAGCCTGATAATCTAAAGTAGGGTGATCTTGCCTGGATGAGGAAGTAGGATTGGAGGTATGCCCTTGCCTTTGTACATATGGCCTTAGTGCCTCTATCACTTCTATAAAGCTCACAGAATGGCATTGTAGAACTGTGCTGACATCTCTGGTCATCTTTCCAGAGAGGCTTAAGTGGCCATCTGAGTAAAGAAGGAAGTATACAAACAATATAGTTTTCTAGTTACAGAGCAGGTGCTGTGTGTTGTGTGTTTGTGTGGGTTTTGGCTGCTCAGTCTGCCACCATTTCCACGCTTGCTCTGGGGAAGACGCTCCTGTGGCTGGATCCAGTCTGCAGGTGCTGGCTTAAGCCACAAAAGGACCTTTCTGTTGAAGCAAGGCAGCAAAATTTGTGTATGGATCAGACATGCTCTAAGCTTCCTGATACTGGTCACACATTGGTGTATCTTCTGACGTGGAAGTAGAATATGGGCTTGGCGATTGTCCCAAGTTTGACTAATCTTCAACCTTTACGTATCATAAGTAATAATTTCTAGCTATGCAATCTTTTAGTTACCAACTTCCTTGTACATATTCCAGTAACAGAGCTAGCTGCAGGTAGATTACTTTCTCACTAGCTCTTGTTGTCTCTGTTGGATTTCCCTTTTAGTATTTAGGAATGACTGTGAGGCAATGTTACAAACCCCTGTTAGCCGTCCCATTACTGAAGTCTAGTAGATGCTTTAAAGAAATACATAGTTGAATGGTTGGGTATATTCCTTGTTAACTGTTAACCACTTGTTAACAACTCTCGTGCCACAGGTGGAAGAGGAAATCCAGACACTCTCACAAGTGCTAGCTGCCAAAGAGAAGCATCTAGCAGAAATCAAGAGAAAGCTGGGAATTAACTCACTACAGGAATTAAAGCAGAACATTACCAAAAGCTGGCAAGATGTTACATCAACCACAGCGTATGTACCAGCTCATGATGATTGTGAAAACTGTTTAGATCTTGTGTCATGTCTAAACACTCTGTTCTTGTGAAGTGAGTATAAATAACACAGTTGTATTAAAATATTCCCTGGGTAAATCAACATAGATTTTTTTAAAAGTAGAGCACTGCAAGCCATGTCTCATGCAAAAGAAGAATGATTGACCAAAATTTGATCTATTCTAACACACATTTTTGTCTGATAGAGCTGAGATACCAAGGTGTCCGAAGTCCAACAGAATACCCTTCTTTTCCACCCTGAAAAATTGTTATAAACGGAGCCCATGCAGGAAGAGCATGAAGTCACAATTACTGTTCTTGCCAAACACAAATATTAGCTTAAGGTCTAGAGCAAGCTACCTTCTGCAATTAATGACCACAGAATGCCACAAGATGTGACTGAAACTTTTTATAGGGAATTTTATTGACAGAACTGCATGGTACAAGAATTTAGACACTTCACAAAAAAATAGGCCTTTTTCAGTGTGTGTGCCTAGTGTTGTTTTTTTGTTTTTTTTCTTTTATATTCTTTTGAGTTTGTTTTTTTTTTATTGATTGAGGTGTTTTCTGTGTGAGTTTATTTTATATTTTGCTAAATCCTACAATAGCAGATCTGTTCTAGGATGGGATAGTAGGTGCATGTTGGTGAACTGGGTCTGTTCAGAGGTGGCAGAGATGCTGTGGCCAGAAGGCTCAAAATAATGTCTTAAGTAGGTTTTCTATTAGACCCCAAAGCTGAAGTGTACCTCTTCCTTTGATACAAATAAATACACACTAAAAGTTTCCTTATGTGTTCTATTAAAATAACTGAAAACTAAATATTTTCTTGAACACAGATACAAGAGAACATCAGAAACCCTGTCTCAGGCTGGTCAGAAGGCTTCTGCTGCTTTTTCTTCTGTTGGTTCCGTCATAACCAAGAAATTTGAAGATGTCAGGTAGGTTTCTTTACCTTTTCCTGAGTAATTGCATTTTTTTATTTAATCGAGTGATCGCTGCAATAAATTTATGCTGTTAACATACTTAGTACTTCTAAAAGCTAATCTATCAAGAGCCTTCAGCAACTGTTCTAGGGGAGGTAAGAGACTTGCTGCAGAATCTGCTTATATGTCCTCACTGATGCTGAGGAATTCTGTGGTGTGTATTTTACGTAGGCGAGAGAAGCAATATGTGCTACCACCTCCTCTGCTGCTCTTACTTTTCTGGTGTGATTGCAGGCAGCACTGTCTGCCTGCCTCTGTGGGGTGCACATAGCACTATCATTTCTGCTCTCTTTCTCAGCTTGTGGAATATTATATTTAACAGCTAATATCTTTAACTGTTTGTATTTTGTTGTTTGGCTCTTTTTGTCGTGTTTGTTGTTTTTGTTTTTGTTTGGGTTTGTTTGTTTGTTTGGGTTATTTGTTCCTTCCAGGCGTGTTTTATTTCTTTCTAAGCTGTGCTGCCTCATAGAAGTGGCTTGATTTTATTACATTTTTAAGAGACTATTGGCACTTTCTAATTCTTAACTACTGTTGGCATGCAACATATTTTGACTTTGTGCCAAATGACACAGCCCCTGGTACACATTAGGTAAGTCTGCCAATCATTCTTAGAACTATTTTGAGCTGCTTGCAAAAATCCTGCTGGATGCAATACAATCAGATGCTTAGCTTACAATTCCTTGATTATATAGTTCTTACTACTGGAACCTATACAATTATTCATCTCCACAGGTAATTTCTTGTTGTTAGCCTTAATTTTCAATTGTTGGGCAAATAAAAATTCACACATTCTCACAGAATATTGCTGCTTTGGCAGCAGTGTAATAAAATCAGCCATGTTAAAGTGCTGCCATTAACCTCTTGCTTTTTGAAGTCTAGTGAGAAAACACTTTGAGTACAGCTACACAGTTACATATTTTTCTTCAGATTTATCAGAACTTCCTTTCTCTTTTTAATGCTTACTCTGGCATTGAGCAGACTACAGGCATTTTCACATTCCTTTAGGTAAGGTGGACACAAGAATTGCTTCTGAAACTAAGCATGTAGTCAGACTGTCTCCATTAAAGTTTTTGATTAAAGTTTGTCTGTAAAAGGTAATTTCTTCTTTTCTCCAGTGTTAGTAAGGGTAAAACTGAAGCTCTTTTAGTGTCAGGGAAGATGTTACTTCATGTTCACCTGGTAACTATCTCAGAACATGAAATATTGAGGGTACATACTAATTAATTAGTCTCTCTTCCTTGTTAGAAAGAAACCAAATAAAATGATTCTGCAGGGTTTTTTATCAAGAGACAGAATATGGTGTTGAGGTCAATGGCATGCAGGATTCCTCCTTCTTTGTCTGTACAGTGTTTGTGCTGTGGCAGAGTAGAGATTTTTCCCTTTTTATGTGTATTACAATGGCTTTTTAACATTATGACTCTAAATTACTAGAGTCTAAATGTAAAATAGTTTGTACATTCTTTGCTCATAGTTTGTCCACTGAAACAGTCATTGAGTTGATTACTTTAGCAGGGCCAGTATTTTAGTTACTTCATCTACATTACCTTTGATCCAAGCAAATACTTGGTGTTTTCAGTAGTTAAAAATCCTGTGTAACAACTTCTGTGAATTGCTTCTCAGCCCGTCTATGCACACCTGAGTCTGACTTAATCTTTTCTGTACTTTCCCACTAAGTAGCTAAAGACAGCAGTAGGATCTCTATAAAGATGTTGAGATTTGGCTCCTAGAATACTAAGTGGGAGCTATTGTCCCAGGGAAGGAGGTGGGCAGAGGCACAGGATGCTATGTGAACTCAGACTCTGGAGTGAGCTCAGTTTAGTCAGGTATAAGAACAGAAGCCAGTCTCAAATGTCCTGTTCAGCATCAGTGAGACAGTGGGAACCTGGAAGACTTCTCTGTTCTTTTTGGATGCAGAGCTCACCTGCTCACTTAACAGGTGTGACTTTTCTACCGTAAAGCTGTGGTGCTCCCCAGTTAGTACTGGACTACTGCACTGGACAAGTACAAGCACAGACTCAGAGCTGTCTTCTACTTCAGGAATACCTTAAGAGTGTCCTAATTACTCCAGTTAGTGGCTTTGTGGGTGTTGAGTACAGTTTATCAGAAACTGGGCCACTGGGAGGGAATATAACAGTATCAGAGAAGTCCACACTGTTGGTGTGCTGCTTAGAAAGAATCATGGTGATTCAAGGTATTGTTATAAATTCAGGGACAGCTGTGTTTAGAAAACACAACAAAAGTGTGAAGAATTAGTGCTGTTGAAGATCTTAGTTGCATTTGAAACAAAAGATTAAAAACCTTTAAGTTTTTTTTTGTTTTTTTGTGAGAACCAAATTGATCTGGAATTCAGCTGGTGAATTCAGGGCTATATGACTACCCAAGGCCAACTCTGAACTTCAGAAAGGTTTAGATGCCTAAATTCTTTCCTGGAAGTGAGAGTTGATGGGCCTGATACTTGAACTAATACTGAATATGCAGGTGCATTTTTGTTCTTAAACTCTTACATTGACTTCATTCTGGCTTTACTTTCCCTGTATTGTTTTGGTTGAGGGACTTCTCAGCTATAGTGGTGTGATTTCTTTCATGTTGGACTATTTCTATGTATTCCAAGCAGCAGACGTCACATGCAGGTCTTTATTTGGGCACTGCAAAGTGATTTAATAGGAAGCTGCAAAAGGGAGTGAGGCAGCTGCTGGAGCTGGGGTTTAGTTAGTTTTGGTGTAGCTCTGTAGTAAAACCTGCCATATAGCAAGCCCAAAACTTGTATTAATTCACGTGACAATGAAGAATATAAATTACAGTCTAGAAGACAATCAGCTTCTCTGTGTTCTGGAAAAGCCTGTGAAACCCAGACTATCCATAAGAACGAAACACAGGAGAAATGGGGTTGGGGAAATAGAAGAAACAGAGCTGTGCATTACTGACATGTCAGGAAAGCATCTGGCCTTGTGTATCTGATTCCGAGTACGCTATAACTACAAATGAACCTATAGTTGTGCATCTGCCTTAAGAGATCTCAACCTTAAGAGAACTTTGTTTGTTGTTTTTACTGATGAGACCTCATAAAGAATCTCTTAAAACTTGCTCTGAAATAAACAGAGCTTTTTTTCTTCTTTGAATGTATCTTCCATTGATTGTGCTGAGATGCTAATTGAAAGTTTGGAGGTGCATCTTACAAGAGAGCTGTTCCCCTTCCCTCCTCTCCTCCCTTAGCAACTGTCTTGGAAAGTTTTCTCTTGAAAGACATCATAAAGCCCAGACAAATTTTGACATTCCATATATAGTTATGAAAAACTGAGATAAATCACTTGTAATAATTCTAAGTTACTGTTGTGGTATTTGGTAAGAAGTTTTTAATGTATAAGGCTTGTTTGTATGTGCAGTAAACAGGGATTTTCTGTATGGAACTAAATTAGATGCCAGGTGGTATTAAGGCTATTTGGGAGCTCCTTCATCTATATATCCAGTTACCTTCTAGGAGTAGATGTGTTTTCTTGCTAGACAAACAGTAACTGTATAGCAACACTGGCAGGTTATAGAAATCCTCCATGAATTTCAGAACACAGGACCAGAACTTTATCCCTGCTCCCAGCATAAACCTGACCTTGAATACTGACTGATGTGGCTGCTTTTGTTGGATATTATATATTGATGAGTAGATAATTTGTATCGATGAATGTAAAAAACTTACTGAACTGAAAGGGAAGCCTTCTGGATGTAGAGTAATTCAGTAGGAAGATCAGCTGATTAAGACTCTCAAGTGTTTGCTACTTGTACTTGCTATCGCCAAAACTGTAAATGAAGCATGACTCCTGTTGCTTGTGAAACTTGAGCAGACAGACAACAGTAAGCTAAGTAGAACAAGTACTAACAAGCATGGCACCTGAATCTGTATAAAAGAGAAAAGGTTGCTGCAGCTTTTGCTCTGATGTACTTGTATGTGTGTGTGCATGGCTAAGCAATTTAAGAAAGCAAACCCAAGCAGTTACTTAGACTGTATAAGATGGTTTGGCTGTTTACCAAAGCTAGTTTACAGAAGTCAGCTCTCTAAGACAATTTCTTCTCAATGTAATACTTAAACTAACGTTTCGCTTTCTTTTCTCTTAATGCTGGCATTTAGTATACGCTCCATACAACATTCAATTAGTATGCCTATTATGAGGTAATGTATGCATAATCCAGCTGTTTGGTTTGTTTATTTTCATGTGTGGGATCAAGTCAGATTAAGCTTAAGTCAACTGACATAGTTTTATATAACATAATTTTATAAAAAACCAAAAAATGCACCCTGCTTTGTACTAACATATAGGATAAAATTTGTTTTATTTCTGGTTAACAGAGGTGGTTATCAAGCATCTGGAAAGTGACATTTCCCTACTGTTTGGAAAACTAACAGCTTTTCCCTGTCTGATAGAGTGTAATGCTACTAAGTGATTCCAAGTTTAAAAGACAGTAGCTTGGCATATGTTTTTGAAAATGAAAGTTAGTAAAAAAACCCCTGTGGTTTCACAAAAAAGTCTCTTGGTGATCTGGAATGCTTCCCTTTTCTCTCTGCTTGCTTGGCACTGTGTCCCTCCATCTCCTCAGGGTCTGGTTTGATGCATGTGTCACTGTGTGCTTTCCCAAGGGAAAGAGTGCTGCTAATTGTTGGTGACCTACACAAATTCCAAGCAAAGGAAGAAGCAAAGCTCCAGACTGCTTTTGAAAAATACCCTTGTCTTCAATATTTATAGAATACATTTTTGAGTAATCCTTAGTCCTGGTCCACTGAAGGCAAGCATTTTCCATCCTATGTAAAGGCAGAAAAAGTGTACAAAGCATTGCACAAATTTGCACATAGCTACTTGGAGCAGTAAGCCACCCTTATGACCCTAATGAATTATTATCAATTAATAATTATAACTAATGAATGATGATTAATTATTATCCAGCCCTCAGCTCTGGAAATCCCAAGCTGTCCTGCTTTTTGTATGCAGAACTTACTATTTGTAATTACAGCTGCCTTTGGCACTTAAAGGCAAGGGAGAATCTCACATAAACTGAACATGTTAGAAGAAAATGCCAATGTGAAGCATGTTTTATTTATTGAACATGTAGAAAAGTAAACTGAATTAGTTTTCTTGTAAAAAGTGAAAAAACTGTGATAAGCTCTCTTCAACAATAATATATTAGGCTAACCAGAAGTGATGACTAAGATTTTCTGAACAAATGCTTTAGGCCAGAAATGTGTTTGAAATCACTGGGAATAATAAGCTATACCTAAAATACTTGCTAGTTCTCCCTTCCAAGTTGATATGAAGGATCCTATTGCTAGACCTGGCAATGTTTAGTTGCCAAACATGAAAGTGAGCCTGCAATTTGAGTATGTTTGAATTTTAGTTTTGTAGTACTTGGGGCGATCCAGATGTAAACTATTTTTAGGCTATCTTTAAAACAGGGAAAGATCCCCGAACAAATCTCATGTTGCTATTGGGAAAAAGCAATTGTCTACTTGTTTTGTGATGTTTATGGATTAATTAGATGTGATTTTAATTCTGTGGTTCCTTTTTTTTTTATTTTTTTATTTTCATAGAAATTCTCCTACTTTCAAATCCTTTGAGGAAAAAGTTGAAAACTTCAAGGTAAGAATTTCTAAAACACCTGGGTGATTGTGGAGCTGTGAATGTGGAGAAAAGACTCAAGCGGATTCTGGGCAGCCTACTTTTCAGTTACTGGCAAACCTTTGAAGAGGTGCTTAGATGAACATCTTTTAAAGTGCTGTGGAGATGGTTACTCTGCCTAATGATTTGCAAATAAAATAATGGGGCTGCCTGCACCTCATACAGGATGATGCCTTTAGAAGAACTAATAGCCAGGTAACCTGTACAAAGAACTAGTATTAAGTATCCAAAATAATTAATACCTAATGCTAGGTATCCAGAATTGTCTAGGCTTTTATTTCATGCCTTTCTAGGGACTAATACCCTACTCAGGAGAATAGCTTGGGATATGTGTTTCATTTCTGGCATAAAAGGCAAAAGGCCTTTGCACCTTTATTTTTTACTTCACTCCCAAAAGCCTCAAGTGCCGGAAACAACCATTAATAACTTCTCCAGGTAAAAACTCACTTTAAAAATAACTAATCTGTGTAATCAGAACCAGATTTGACTTCCCCATGGCACACTGGGCTGGATGAGAAACATGCAAGTGATAGCAAGGGGGACTAGCCTTCTCATGCAACTAATTGGCATTAATACTCCTGCAGTCCCACAGAGTGTATGCTGCAGAGGGAAGTGAAAAGGCAAACACATTACCTGGAGAAAATAAAATAGTTGCTCTGTTCCTCTAAAGATCTCAGGTATTGCTGTTGAGACTCAAAACTGTCCAAAGTTCTTTCTTGAAAAATATAGTAGTGACTTTTAACTCTGAATCTCCTAAAGATTTCATGGCTTGAAGGGCTGCATACCTTCTTCCATTTGTAACTGAGGGTGTGTCAACCTTTGGACTCTGGAATCAGCTCTGGAATAAGGGCTGCTTCATGTATCTTAAAGTTAAAGGGAGACTGCTGTGTTAATCGGTGAGTGTTTCCTGCCCCAGATACGTACAGATTTGTTTTAAGAATATTATGGAGGTCTCCTAGACCTGGAAAAGCTTCTTCGTTGAAGAGAGTTATTAAACTCACACAGATACTGGTTTTGTACAGTTAAGCATGTTTGGTGTGCCAAGTAACTACTATGCTTTTTGGGGGTTCTCTCTATGTTCTAGTCTAAAGTTGGAGGAAGCAAACCTGCTGGGGGAGACTTTGGAGAAGTTCTCAACTCTGCTGCCAATGCCAGTGCCACAGAAACTATTGCAGAACAGACAGAGGAAGAGACCCACTGAGACTTCTGTCTCTGTCCTGCTACCCACTGCCAGATGCTGCAAGGAAAAACCAAGCACACTTTTAATATTCTCTGCGCTCTTTCCACTGGATGTGCTTTTATTTAGCACGTAGTTATTTTACCCGATTAACTGATACCAAGCTTGTTTGTGGGTTCAAACTATTTTTGAAACTATAATACATTGTTTGGGGTTTTGTGTGGGAAGGGGAATTTCTATGCCTTTCAAGCATATAAAGGACTTACCTGTAATTTGAAGACAACCTTTAAAATATAGCAATGAAAAAAACTCTTTTGAGAAGTTAATTCTATTGTACAGATACTGTGGATACATAATTTCTTTTCAATCTGTAGCTACTGCTCAAATTAACCCTTATAAATCTGCTGCTGCTGCCAAACTGAAGCTTGTTACTTTGCTCCCTTGTGATCGATTCAGTTGAGTGTTGCCTGCAAGGGACACTGGACTAGGAGACCGGACAAGGAGGGAGGGATCACTCCCAGCTAAAGAAAGGACTTCAGTTTCAGCAGGCTTTACACAGGTTATAGCAGGATCACACATAGGTAGGAATGTACTGTCTTTTGAGCGTGTTCCTCATACAGCAGGTATGGATAAGTAACACAGAACATGTAAAACTTACCCATCTGTCTGTGCATTGTCCACCTCAGAAAATTCTGACCAATGCAGATGGAAGCAAGATGCCTCATAGTGCTGGTTTGGTTCAGTCACCGTAACATTTTCAGTCTTGTTTTTTGTACAGGATGTCACTGTGGTAGGATTACACTCTCCTGAACATTTGACCAGTCACAAATAGATTCATCTTCATTCACATGTGGTGGTGTCACAGTCACACTAACAAAGCACGGAATGGAAGAAAAAGCCTGACTCCAGAAGTGGTTCATTTTTAGTCATCAAGAGAATTGCTCCTGTATTCTAATGTTGTTTCCCTTGTAGGCTGGACCCTGAAAACATCTGCTACACCATCTTACTCTTTTTTTATGTATTTAAGGCCTGTACCTCAAGAATACATCTGTTCCTGTTCCCAGAAGTCTGTTTTGAGAGGTGCCATCGTTCAGCATAGGTCTCCTAAAAGATGTGCCCTCCTACATCTTGTTTTGTCTGCTGTATTCCTCAAATTTCTTGTTTCATGTGTTTCTGCCACGTGGTTAGGACATTTTATCACCGTGCTTAGAACTGGAAACAAGTTTTTGCTACACTTGTGTGAAATCCATGAAACTTCAACTGCTACAGGTGTCTGGAGGAAACAAGTTGGCTCCTGACAACCTTGCTATCATGTCAAATGTAGAATGTATACTTAACTACATGTGAGAAGCTTAATAAAAGTGTATGTGAAGAATGTATTGTTCTGTGAACATGAAGGATAATGTAAACGAGTAAGGAAATTTTATTTCTAATTGAAACAGTCCTTTTAAGTTTGGTTCAAAGCAATGCTGATAGATACTACTGCACTGCCGGGAATCTGTGTGGCTTAGCTTGGCATTTCTAGAGAAGACTGAGCCTACATTGCCTTCTAGTGGCTTACACAGAATTACAAATCACAGAATTTTTAGGGTTGTAAGGGACCTCTGGAGTTCATCTAGCCCAAACTCCTGTTGAGGCAGGGTCACCTCTAGAGCAGATTGCACAGGAATGTGCCCAGGTGGGTTTTAAATGTCTCCAGAGTGAAAATCCATTACATTCTTTGGCAACCTGTTCCAGTGCTCTACCACTACATAAAATTAAACTGCCCTGATTACATTGTGAAGTTCAGAAAACAGGCTACCATGTTCCCTCAGCCTCTGACAGCTCCACTGTGACAAAGGAGCAGAGAATTGAATGTATAAAGAGAATGGAGCTCTTCCTCTTTTGGATCAATAACCGTGTAGGGCCGGTTCTTCTGGAACATGATCCTTATTGGATGGGTCTTTTATTTATCTAACTGACAAATGTCATCAGTCCAGAGCTGAGCTTTCTGTTTTCCTGAAGGAAGGGTTTTTTTTTTATAGGACATATGGCAGTCCTTTTATTAGAACACATTATTACACTCCAGGAGCTTTTGCTGCATCTTCCTCTGCCCATACTTTCCTTTTCTCCATGGAGGTGGTTTTGGGGCTGCTGTGATCACTGAAGCTTTGAAACACAAATCAGTTTGAAACACAGAATCAATTAGGCTGGAAAATACCTCTGAGGGCAGGGAGTCCAACCTATAACCAAGCAGCACCTTGTCACAACTAGACCATGGCACTAAGAGGGGCTCCAAAGGGAATGGGAGAAGGTTGTGTCAGGGAATGCTCCGCTTGGGTATTACAAGATTTTTTACCCAGAGGGTGGTTGGGCACTGGAACAGGCTTCCCAGAGGAGAAACAGCACCAAGCCTGGCAGAGTTCAAGAAGGGTTTGGACAGTGCTCTCAGGCACAGGGGTGACTCCTGGGGGACACCTGTGCAGGACCAGGCGTTGAACTCGATGATCCTTGTGGGTTCCGTCTAACACAGGTTATTCTACGAAGTGCCACGTCCAGCCCTTCCTTAAACACCTCCAGGGGTGGTGACTCCACCCCCTCCTTGGGGAGCACATTGCAACGTGTAATTACCTTTCCCGTGAAGAAATCCTCCCAGATGTCCAGCCCACTCTTTCCCTGGCTCGGCTCCAGCTCCATTCCCCGATCCAGTCGCTGTCGCCTGGGGGCAGCATGGCGCCCGCCGTCCCTCACCCAAGATGGCGCCGCCCGCCTCAGCCCGGCGCGCTGCGCCTGCGCGGGGGGCGGAGGCCCCGCCCCCGCTCAATGATGGCGGCGGCGCTGCGAGGCCCCGCGTCCCGGCCATGGCGGCTGCTGGTGCCCGCGGTCCGCAGGGGCAGCGGGGCCGCGCCGGGAGCCGCCGACACTCCTCCGCAGCGAACGGAGCAGCGCCCGGGCAGCGGCACCGCGGGCTCTGTTTCCCTGCAGGTGAGGGCGCGAGGGGATTGAGCCGGGGCAGCATCCTCGGCCCTAGTGAGGCCACACCTGGAGTGCTGTGTCCAGTTCTGGTCTTCTCAGTATAAAAGAGACGAGGAGCTGCTGGAGAGGGACCAGCGGAAGGCTGGAAAGATGAGGAGAGGTCTGGAGCATCTCCCTTACGAGGGGAGGCTGCGGGAGCTGGGCCTGTTCAGTCTGGCAAGACAAGACTGAGAGGGGATCTCATCAATACGTATAAATACCTCAAAGGCAGGTGCCAACAGGATGGTGCCAGAGTGTTTTCAGTGGTGTCTAGCGATAGCATAGGGAGAAATAGCCATAAACTAAAGTACAAGGAGTTTCACCTCGACACGAGGAAGGACTTCTTTGCAATGAGGGTGGCAGAGCACTGGAACAGGCTGCCCGGGGAGGTTGTGGAGTCTCCCTCTCTGGACACATTCAAAACCAGGAAACCCACCTGGGTGCATTCCAGTGTCACCTGCTCCAGGTGACCCTGCCTTGGTAGGAGAGTTGGACTGGATGATGTCCAGATGTCCTTTCCAACCCTAATAACTGATAGTCTCACTGCTTCACCCTGCATAATAAATAGCCTGCAGAAACAGGACATCTCATATTTCTTTTTAAGATGCTCCTACAAAAATGTAATGTAGAAAGCATGCAAGCAGTTTTAGTTGTGTAGAATGCTGCATAGGCAAAGCTGTGTTCTGCCTTTTTGCAGGCTAGCAGGGAGGATGTGGAAAATCTCTTACTGATTTTATTGGGTCAGATCAAAGACCTGTTAAACCAGTATTCCAGAGACTTTTAGTGGAAATATAAAGATTTTTTATGAGTAAAACACCTGTAGAATTGTACATGTGTGAAGCCAGGATAAGGAACATCAGGATGAGGATTGAAAGGATGCTGCATATTATTGTGAAAACCCACAGTTCTCTGGGAAGCTGTCTTTTGTCGCTCTAATTAGGAACGGCTGGGTAGAGGCGACACAGACTCTCAAGGAGTCAGAACAGGAGAATTCCCTAGTTTATTACTTTAGACTTGTTTTATAGATTAGTTCGTGGAAAGTACAGAAAAGAAAACTCTTATTGGTTAGTTAACTGCTACATCACCATCATTGGTCAGTGGTGTACACCACCTCCTGACTTTCTCCTGCAAGGAAAACAAGAGGACAGACAAACAGCACCTGGCAGTTGTTTTCTGTCTCTGAGGATTGTTTTGAAATCCTCCTATGAATCTCTCAGGCAGGGAGCAGTTTCTGCAGGCTCCCTGCAGCTTGCTCCAAAGCTAGCATCCATAGTCTTTAGCAGTAAAATTAGGATGGTGTGCTTGGCAGGGCCTGCACTCTGGTAAGCTGCAGCACAGATGATTTGTCAGGAGCAAACTCTGCTCCTGATGTGCACAAGGAGGGTCACAGGTTTGTGTCCCATATCTTCTGTGCCATTTGTTTTCCTGTTACTCCACCATGAATCAGTTGTGGAGAGAGAAATGCTATTTATTGAGGGTGCAGTAAGTAGAATTCTGGAGCAAAGGGCCACCCCATCAACAGCTGCTGACTCCTGAAGGGTATAAGGATGTAAGCCCTTGATTGAAGGGTGTAAAATATTAGTCCAAAACCTAGTTCACCATTACCAGACAGGAATAATGTCAGAGGTCTGGGGAGGCCTTGATAGCTGGCAACCTTCATCCTCAGTGTTGTACCCAAATGGATTTTACCCAGATGCTTGTTGGGAATCCAGGGGTATGGAAGTGTGAGAGGATGGAACTTGGGAAAGAGTGAGTGGTAAAATAAATATAGAGATTTTATGAATAACCATCACTTTCTCATGCAGTGCATCGAGTTTTGTCATGGTGATTTTTCCCATAGCTTGTGACAGTGCCCATTAGCAGACAGGTAGGGAAACAGAAAAAAGTTCTTTGTGGGTACTGACATATTACAGAATATCTCTTCCAGACTGAAAACCCCTGACCTCTGCTTATTCCTCAGGTGGAAGTGGTTCCATGCTGGTGTTTATCCTGGACAGTAGTCTTTTTGTAACTTTTTTCAGTTCTGTTTGACCACACCTGTATCTGAGATTATTTGAAATGTATTCGGTAGGATATGGAGATTAATGCTGTGAATTATTATGACAGGACTTGTTTGGTACTGCAGGTCGCAGAATCCAAGACCTGATATCCCAAATTACTGCATAATCTATAACATTCAGTTTTCCATTGAAAATCCACACTTCTAGCAAGGCTGGCTGTGCAAAGATCAAAAGTTTTCCTAACTCATGGGCTCAGGTGGTGTCCAAGGGGATGTCCACAGAAGAGTTTAAGAACAGAATCACTTGATGTAGCTGTAGCAGATACTGAATGCTACTCTGGGGATTTGGGGATCCCCTTTTTGTTTTTCTGTTGAAGTGAGTAGCTGGAAACATTATTTTCTATCTACATAATCTCTTTCTATCTGTAAGTGAATTGTTATCAAGCTGTTAAAGCTTCTTAACTAACTCAAATGTTCCATTGTATTCACAACATCATTTTCAAGTGGAATTGTATACACGAATACACAATGCATTACTAGAAATCAAACTAGGGTTTTGAAATGAATATCTGGACTACAACTCTGAATTTCTGTACACTTTGCTGAGCTACTTTTTCACTTGAGCCAGAAGGAAAATAGCTTGCTTTGTAGTGCTTAGTGATGTTCAAAGCATAATAATGAGATGAAGATTATCATGAGTCTACTTTCATGCTGCTCTTAGCCCAGGTAGTGCTCAGTGAGTGTGAGTGTGGTGAATGTTTAATCATTGATTGCTCTTTGAGGAGTTTACTGAAGAGGGAGTGGGTTTTGGTGAAAATTAGTTAGTGGTAGAAGGTAGCATGAAACAAGAGGGAAATTAAAGGGATCTGACTGCAGTGTAATCTGTTAATTTTGTGTAGTTTTCTTGAAATCATGTTATCACCACTTTTAGCTGATACTTGATTATTAGAAAGTATGTTACTTGGTAAATAAACTTTCCACAGCTGGGAGCAGTCCTGATGCTACTTTGGTAAAGCTGGGTAATACTTATGGTAGGATGCATTGGACGCTGATGGAAAAACTCAAATATTCAGAAGATTTTTTTGATGAGATCCTTCTAAGAGGAGCACACACTTCCTTCTGGAGAGGGTGTGATGACTTTAGCTGTAGTCCCTTCTGGGGGTCACAGCAACTGCAGAATCTGCTCTTTGAAGCAGGGGGAATGTGGCCTTGCTCATCCCATACCTGAACTACAGTCAGAGGAAAACTTGTGTTCCTTATCTGAGCTGACAAGTAGTGCCTGTCTTTTGCTGTGCTTCATCCTCTAAGAGCTAGAGGTGGTGCTTGGATTCTTTGTGTTTTTCCTTCTTTTGGGAAAAGGCTTGGTAATGTTTCTGTATGGGTTTCCTGTGTCAGCTGTTCACTCATTTTTGAAACTGGATGAACTGGCTGATATTTGGTTGGCAGTGGCTTAGGTTAGGCAAATATAAGTAAACTTGATAAATGGGCATGTTGACATGTGTTTGTCTTCAGATGATTCAAAAAACATGGTGATGATATTTTTCCTAGGCAGCTCTTTTAAGTTTTTTTTCAGCAATGTGTGCTGCTGACCATACCTCAGAGTTGCCTGGTGGTGTCTCTGCTGTGCTTGTAATTTTTTAGGGGTTTGTGTTTTAGCTTTCACCTTCAGTTTACAGTTCTGTTGTTACTGTTTTGTAAATTGTGCAACTTACAGACAAGGCACTTAAATGTTGATTAAAATTGTTGAAAAGGTTGCAACTTGGTAATCCCAATATCCTGATAAACCCTTACAGACAGCTTGCTTCTTGCTGTGTTTCCCTTTTGCATTTTTATATTTAAGTTTTGCATTATAAACAAAGGAAAAAAGACAGGTTTAAAGTTCTTTTTTTCCTCTGTGGAATTGCTTAATGAAATATTTTAGAAGGACCAATGCTGTAAGTGTTACCTTCATTAATGGATTAAAGCTACTTGTCTAGAAAAATAGGAAACCTTGTCTTTAGGAAGGATGAGATGATTTTTGATACAGGTAGGGAAATGTTTTTTGAACTGTCTTATTTGCTCAGTTACCAAAGTTTGAAGAAAATGTAAGAATAAAGACACTAATTAAGAATAAATGCACATTTTTTTCTCCACTGTGAACTAAGTAGTCCAAAAATGTTTCAGATATGAGCGGTGAAGTTTGTCAAGTGTCCTTTAAGGTGGAAATGGGCTATCATTAAGTTAACTTTGCTGCTAATCTGCTGTATGTGTCACTGTGTGATAAAGCTGCTCTGATGGGACTTTTTCATGTGAGAGTAGCAGGGTACAAGCATCAGGGGCTGGTTACACGAGCAGAAAGTTGTCCTTGCTCAGAGGGAGGGATGTGCAGCCCCTGGCTCGGCCGGGCTGCAGGGCCCAGCTGGGCAGGGATGCTGCAGCAAGGCCTGGTGAACATCCCCGCCCGGCACAGCAGAGGATGCCGCTTGTTTCCAGATATCGCAGCAAAAGCAGCACGTTGGAGGAATTTCCTATTTAATTCCTTGAATACCGTGTTGGAAGGGAAAGCAGGTATTAAGAAGAAACGTAACTGATTTTGTGTTAAGTTCAGATAGAAGGGATTGGATTGGTATCAGTATATTATATCTAATTTCTGAAAGGAAGAGATTAGAAGTTATTCTTCCAGGCACATACATGTTTTTAAATTGACTTAGCCGTGGGTTCTTTGTGAAAGGATTAGTAAATTTGAGGAAGATATCTGTGTATTTAAATGTCACTATTTAAAAAATAAAATATCAGTATTCATTAAGAAAGAAAATGAAAAAATATTTTCGTAAGCCATATAAAGGGCTGTTTTTTCTGTTTATGTTTTAGGGGAGAAATTAAAAACTAAAACACAAAAGTCACAAGTTAAAAGGAATGTATTACATTTCTGAAAGCCACATGGGTATCTTTATAAAGAATGTGTAGTCGTCTTGCTTGTGCAGTATTTGGA